TGGAAACAACGATGGGCTGTCCTGGACAAGCTGTCTCCCGTGGCAGGTTAGTTTACTTGCTTTTGTGTTTGTTTGTACTTGTTTTTGTGTATGTTTGTGCGTGTTTGTGTTTGTTTGTGCGTGTTTGTGTTTTTTTTTTGGTGTATGTTTATGCGTGTTTGTTTGTTTGTGCGTATTTGTGTTTGTGTTGTGTGGGGATGTGGGGGAGAAGAGGTGGGTGTTTGTTTGTTTGTGTGGGTGGAGGGGGGTTATGGGGATGGGAGGAAGTGTGGGTGTGGGGGGAAGTAAGTATGGGTGTGGGGGGGGTATGTGTGTGTGTGTGTGTGTGTGTGTGTGTGTGTGTGTGTGTGTCTGTTTTCAAGAGGTATATCTATCTAAGTACCTATCTATCTATCTATCAAATCTATCTATCTCCTCCATTTAGACATGCACATATCTCTAAATACACTTTCACTACACATACATTTTTCCCTTATTTTTTCGTATCTTTTCCTTCCCTCAGCTTTAAAAAAATATGGACGCTGATTATACGCCCACGCCCGTCGTAGCGATAAACACACGATAAAACACCTTCTTCGCCCGTCGGCATTCACGCCCACAAGAGGTCTCTGCGGGCGTGGGAACATTGCGAAGGTCTTGTGTGTGTGTGTGGGAGGGGGGAGGTGGAGGAAGGAGGGGAGGGGAGGGGTAGGAGGAAGGTGGTGGGATGGGGGTGGGGGGTAGGGGGGGAGGTGGAGAGGGAGGGAGAATAATAGTGGATGGGTGGGAGGAGGGAAGGGAGGAGGGAAGAGAGAGAAGGGAGGAGGGAAGAGGGAGGGTGAAGGGTAATGGAGGGAGGGAGGAGGGGGGAGAGAGGAGAGAGGAGGGAAGGGAGAGGAGAGAGAAGAGAGGAGGGAAGAAAGAGGAGGAAGGAAGAGAGAGGAGGAAGGAAGAGAGAGGAGAGCGGAGGGAAGAGAGAGGAGGGAGGAGAGAAGAGAGAAGATGGAAGAGAGAAGAGGGAAGGGAGAGGAGAGAGAGGAGAGAGGAGGGAGAAGGGAGGAAGGAAGAGAGAGGAGGGAAGGGAGAAGAGAGAGAAGAGAGGAGGGAGGAGGAGGGAATAAAGAGGAGGGAAGAGAGAAGAGAGGAGGAAGGAGGAGGGAAGAGAGAGGAGGGAGGAGGAGGGAAGAAAGAGGAAGCAAGAGAGAGGAGGGAAGAGGAGAAAAGAGAGAGGAAGGAGAAGGGAGGAGGGAAGAGAGAGGAGGGAGGAGGGAGATGGGTGGAGGGAAAGGGATAGAGAGCGGAGAAAAAGGGCGTATTAGGAGATTACAGATAATTTCGCGTGGCCTTGCAGTACTGGCGTATTTTTAGTTTCTTTATCGTCATTTGCTTTTAATGCCTTTGATGCTTATTTAGAGAAATAGGGAGATATATAAAAGAACGAAAATAAATGAACATGTGTCTTTTCTATTTATATTTTATCTTTTATTCTTATTTCGAGGAAAGGGAGGAGAGTATGGAGAAACAAAGAGGAAGAAAATGGAAAGAAAAATAGAAAAAAAGGGAGAGAAAGAGAGAACGGAGAAACAGAAAGAAAAAGAAAGAGGAAAGAAAAAAAATAGAAAAAAATATGGAGAGAAGGAAAGAAATTAAAAACGGAGAAACAGAAAGATGAAGAAAAAGAAAAGAAAAAATAGAAAGAAAAAAGGAGAGAAGGAGAGAGAGAAAAACAAACGGAGAAACAGAAATAGGAAGAAAAGGAAGACCGAGGAAGGAAGAGGAGCTGAAAAGGGGTGAAGGAGAGACGACCCCTGGCCATCTCGTCACGCCACGGCCGGTGCTTGTGTCATGCTTTTTATTTACGTAATTTGTGCTTGCAGTGGGAGCGGTAGTGGGGACTTCCTGGGAGACGAAAGGGGGAAGGTTTTCGCTTTATGAGCGCTTAAATTTTTTTTGTCTGTTTGTTTGTCTGTCTGTATGTTTGTCTGTCTTTATGTTTGTCTGTCTGTGTTTTTCTGTCTTTTCTCTCCTTCTCTTTTTCTTTCTCTCTTTCTTTCTCTCTTTCTCGTACTTCTCCTCCTCCTCCTCCTCCTCCTCCTCCTCCTCCTCCTCCTCCTCCTCCTCCTCCTCCTCCTCCTCCTCCTCCTCCTCCTCCTCCTCCTCCTCCTCCTCCTCCTCCTCCTCCTCCTCCTCCTCCTCCTCCTCCTCCTCCTCCTCCTCCTCCTCCTCCTCCTCCTCCTCCTCCTCCTCCTCCTCCTCCTCCTCCTCCTCCTCCTCCTCCTCCTCCTCCTCCTCCTCCTCCTCCTCCTCCTCCTCCTCCTCCTCCTCCTCCTCCTCCTCCTCCTCCTCCTCCTCCTCCTCCTCCTCCTCCTCCTCCTCCTCCTCCTCCTCCTCCTCCTCCTCCTCCTCCTCCTCCTCCTCCTCCTCCTCCTCCTCCTCCTCCTCCTCCTCCTCCTCCTCCTCCTCCTCCTCCTCCTCCTCCTCCTCCTCCTCCTCCTCCTCCTCCTCCTCCTCCTCCTCCTCCTCCTCCTCCTCCTCCTCCTCCTCCTCCTCCTCCTCCTCCTCCTCCTCCTCCTCCTCCTCCTCCTCCTCCTCCTCCTCCTCCTCCTCCTCCATCAGGGGGTGGAGGAGAAGGGTGGGAGGGAGGGTGGGAGGGGAAGATAGGGAGGGAGGGAGGGAGGGGATAGGAGGGGAGGGGAAGAGAAGTTAGGTAATGATTGGGGATAATTGGGAGAGAGCAAAAGAGACAAAGAGAGAGAAGATAAATAACAAGAATAATGCCAGTGACAAGAATAAATATAAAGGTAGTTATAATAGCAGTGATATGGGCGATTGTAATTGTAATAGGAATAATGATAATAATGATAGTGATAAGGATAATGATAATAGTAACGATAGTAATGATAATAACAATAATGATCATAGTAGTAGTAGTAGTACTACTACTACTACTTATGATCATAATGATAATAATAATAATGATGATGATGATGATGATGATGATGATGATGATGATGATGATGATGATGATGATGTGATGTGATGATAATGAGAATTGCAATAATAATGATAGTAATAATAATTCAAATATTAATGAGGATAATGATGATGATGAACATGATCATGATAATGATAAAAATAACAATAACAACAACAATTATGTTAATGATAATAGTATAGATATGAATAATAACAATGACAAAAAAGTGATCAAGATAAAGATAAAAGAGAAGCAGAAGAAGCAGAGAATGACAAAAATAAAAGAAACGAAACAGCCCAAGAAACGAGGGAACGATACAATTTGACTAATGTCTACTTCCGGAATTACTGCCTGCCATTATCGGCGGAAAAAAGTGGCCATTCTTTTTTCGTTTTTTTCTCCCCCTCCTTTCTTTTTCTTTTATTTTTTGAGAGTTGGGGAAGTAAGAGGGGGGGGGGGAGGTAAGAGGGGAGGGGGGGTGTTGGATGGAGGGGTAGTGAGGGGAGGGGGAATGGAAAGAGAGGGAGAGGGAAGGAGAGGGAGGGAGAAAGAGATAGGGAGAGACGGAGAGAGGAAGAGACGGAGAGAGGGAGAGGGAGAGAGAAAGAGATAGGGAGAGACGGAGAGAGGGAGGGAGAGGAAGGGAGAAAGAGATAAGGAGAGACGGAGAGGGGAAGAGACGGAGAAAGCGCGAGGGAGGGAGAAAGAGATAGAGAAGACAGGAAAGGAAAAGAAAAAGAATAAGTAAATAAGAGAGACAGTAACGTAGAAATGAGAGAGGACGAAAGAAAAAAAAGAAAAGGAGGGATAAGGAAATTGATAAGAATGACAAATATTGAAGACAGAAAGAAGGACAAAAACAAAACAAAACAAAGAGATTAGATAACTAGACAAATAGAGACAGAGAGATAAGACAGAACATAAAGAAAACGAAAGATAGGGAGAGACAGGGAGAGAGAGAATTATTTTCTCAGCCGTCCCAAGTCTCATCTTTAATAGCTTTTATAATTCCCGCATTTGAGGATAATTGAAATTGCTATTTATAGAACGGGTCCGAGGGGGGGGGGAGGGGGGGAGAAGGAGGAGGAGGAGGAGGAAGGAGAGAGAGAGAGAGAGAGAGAGAGAGAGAGAGAGAGAGAGAGAGAGAGAGAGAGAGAGAGAGAGAGAGGAGAGAGAGAGAGAGACAGACAGACAGACAGACAGACAGAGAAAGAGAAAGAGAAATAGAGAGAGAAGGAAAGAGAGAGAGAAAGAGAAATAGAGAGAGAAGGAAAGAGAGAGAGAGAAAGAAGAAAAGAGAAGAGAAGAAAAGAGAGGAAGAGAGGAGAAAGAGAAGAGAAGAGAAAAAGAAGAAAAAAGCAAGAGAAGAGAGAGAGAACGAGAAAAGGAGAAGATAAAGAAAAGATAAGAGAAAAAGAAAGAGAAAGAGAAGAGAAGAAAAGAGAAGAGAGGGAGAGAGGTAAATGAAGATGAAAGATAATTACATTACGAAGAAGGGCACGTGGAAGGAAAAGAAGAAAAAAAAAGGAGGGAATGAAATGGAAGAAGCTAAATCAAGAAACAGGAGGGGAAGGAAAGGGATGGAAGAAGAAGACTAGGAAGAGAGACGAAAGAGAGAAGGAAAATGGAAGCGAAGAGAGGATAGAGGAAAAGAATAGAAAGAGAGACGCAAGAGAGAAGGAAAAATGGAAGCGAAGAGAGGATAGAGAAGAATAAAAAGAGAGACGAAAGAGAGAAGGAAAAATGGAAGCGAAGAAAGGATAGAAAAGAGGAACAAGTCGATAATGGACATGAAAGGGAAGAGAAAAAGAAAATAGACAAAGAGAAAGAGCAAGGAAATTCGTAATGCATAAAATAAATAAAAGTAATAATATATAAATAAAGAGGGAAAGGAGAGAATTTAGAATAAAAGAAATGACGAATAAACACAGAGAAAGAAGAACAAAGTAAAACGTATAAATAAACATTGATAAAAAAGGGATAAAAACAAGGGAATATAGAATAAAAAAAAAGTAAGATCCAAAAAAGCGAATAAAAAATAGACATAGAGACCAAAACAAGAGAATTTAGAATCAAAGAAATAATCAAAT